CGTTGTACTCTGAGATAACCATCTTCGTTGTCTACTACACTATCAATTTTAGTGTCCTCTGCAAACTTACTAACCATACCTCCTATGTTCACATCCAAATCACTTAAATAAATGACAAAAAGCAGTGGACCCAGCACCGATCCTTGCAAAACACCACTGGTCACAGGCCTCTGATCCAAAAACCAACCCTCCACCGCCACCCTCTGCCTCCTACCTTCAAGCCAATTTGCATCTGAATTGGTGTCTCTCCCTAAATTCCATGTGATCTAACCTTGCTAACCAGTCTACCATGCACAACCTTGTTGTTGCTGAAGTTTTTTTTTCTCTCTTGCCTTTCTTGAAAAGCACTGTTGTGGTAGCTAACTTCAAACTTGATGGGAACATTCCAGAATCAAGGGACATTTGGAAAACCATAGCACCTGCCATTTCTGTAGTTCTGTTTTTTTATATTTTCACTGCATGAGAGGAGACTAGTGGTTTGCAGCTCTCTCCTCCCATATTGTATAATTATTGACTTTCCCTTTCTGTTGGTGGTATTGTGAATTGTCCAGATGAGTGCAAGATGAGACAATTTGACAACATGTCTCTTCCTGGAGATTTGTCGGAGTTTAATTCCTTGAGTTTCCCCTAGTTTTTGTTCTCTGCTGGTACCAATTAATTTTCTCATTCCTATCAGCCCCTCGACTACCCCTGTTTGCTGATATGTGGCCTGTTTGTTTTCTCTGTAAAATTGTGTTAAATATGTTTGTTCCATGTTTTTGACATTTTCTCATTCTCAATAAAACATATTCTGTCTCTGCTTCTTGTAAATCACTTACTAGCTATTTTCTGTATCACTGCCTAATTTACTGTTGATTTCTACTTCCCTTTATGTCAACTTTTTGGTGGCCTTCCGCTAGCAACTAAAACATTCCTAATCTACGGGCTTTCCCTATTCTTTGCAAAGTTACAAGCCCTTTTTTAAGAAATAAAATAATACTATCCTTAATCCCCTTAGTAAGCTATGGATCTGTCTCACTCAATTTCTATTTTAGGATATATTTTCGAATATTTTGTCTTGTTTCTTCAGATACTTTCCTTTTTTTAATCACCGAAGTTCTTAGTCTGTTTACTCACTCACCTGTAACCAACTTTGTATTCATATCTGTGTAATTGGCTCCTTGTTTGTAGACAGTTATTGTGATTAAGAAAGGCAGGTAGGTAGATCCAGAGGTAGCAATGGAGCAGCAATTATCTGACAAATTTGAAATGCTTTCTGCTTGAGTGAACAAGAGCAGGGAGTGCAAGGAGAATGACCAGACTGATTATCACATCATGGTGCAATATGTCCTTCAGGGAAGGAGACTACCATCCTTACCTGGTTTGGCCTACATGTGACTCCAGTTCCACAGCCATGTTGTTGAGCCTTAATGGCTGTTAGGAATAGGAATAAATGCTGGCCTATCCAGCTATGCCTTCATCTCATGAATAAATTTTTAAAAAGCTATTCAAGTGGGAGGCCCCAATAATTGCAGTTATAGGTAGCAACTTTGGAAGGTTAGACACTGCTCTCTGCAGCCAAGATCATGAGTCTTAAAGCTGTGTTAGTTCCCCAGTGCCAAAATTAAGTACATCTAGGGATTGGAGAGGAGCTTGGAGTAGGAGATTACAGATCGTGTTATCATGGTCCTTGACATAATAGGACTGAGAAAGAGGTTCTGCTCAGTATGAGCAGCTAGGATCAAATTGATGTCGGATAAATAAGGTCAGAGTTGAATTTGTGACTCTAAGATTGATTTGGGGTATTGGCATCTGTACTGTGGACTAGATTGTTAGGCCGATTTTAGGCTGAAGCATAACAGAAATTGCTGGAGAAACTCAGCAGGTCCAGCATTACCTGTCGGAAGAAAGCAGAATTAACATTCTGAATCGAGTGACTCTTCATCAGAACTGCTGCTACTAACAAGGAAAAATTGGTACTTATGCTGGGGTTGAAGTGGGCGAGGTGAAGGTTCATGGAGAGAGTGGGGTTGGGACGTGAGTGGATAGGCAGAGATGGAGCCCAGAGACAGAGATATGAAAAGGGTTAGTAAATGAGGAAATTATGGATGCAGGCCAGGACAGAAGAAAAATTGAACAAGAGATAATAAGATCTAAAAGTGAGAAAATGGATTCGCCGTGCAGAATATAACCCATATGTGATAACGAGCCTAGAATTCTGTGGGAATGGCATATACGGGTTGGGTATTCGGTGGATAAAAAGCGTGGAAGGATGGAATCAGGCTGTAAAGTTATTGAACTCAGTTTGAGTCATAGAAGTTGCAAGTGTTCCCATTTGGAAAATAAGATGTTCTTCGAGCTTGCACTGAGGATCGCTGGAGCATTGCATTGGCTTTGTAACAGAAATGTTGCATAGGGAACATGGTTAAAATCGAATCAGAGATAGTAGGAACTGCAGATGCTGGAGAATCCGAGACAACAAGGTGCAGGGCTGGATGAACACAGCAGGCCAAGCAGCATCATAGGAGCAGAGAGGCTGTAGGAACTGCAGATGCTGGAGAATCCGAGAGAACAAGGTGCAGGGCTGGATGAACACAGCAGGCCAAGCAGCATCATAGGAGCAGAGAGGCTTGGAACATGGTGTCTTGAAGTGAGCTGGAAGTCTGGGGACATTTTTGTGAACAGAATGTAGGTGTTCTGTAAAGTGTTTTGTCTCCCCATTGTAAACGGGACCACATTGTGAACAGTGAATACAGTAGACTAGATTGAGTGAAGTACAAGTAATCACTACTTCACCTGGAAGGTATGTCAGGGGGTCCTTGGATGGTTGGGAGGGAGGAGGTAAAAAGGCAGGTATTATACCTACTATGATTTTGTGGGAAGATACTGTGGGAGTATGAGGAGATATTGGGAATGGAGGAGGAGTGTACCAGAGTGTCCTGGAGTGAACAGTCCCTGTAGAATGCTGACCGGTGGAATATGTGTCTGATCGTGGCATCCTGTTGGAGGTGACGGAAATGGCGGCTTACAGTTCTTTGGATGCAGAGGCTGGCATTGTGGTAAGTGAGGACCAGACAGACCCTATTATTACTCTGGAAGGGAAGGGAAGGGGTGATGGCGGAAGTGTGGGAGATGGGTCGGACATGACTAAGGGCCCTGTCGACCACTCTAGCAGGGAATCCTTCGTTGAGGGAAAAGATGGAATTTCTGAGAGGAGTTAAAGGAGAAGTTGTTCAAAGTGATACCAACTTTGCCTAGATGGAGGAGGGTGGTGGTGGTTGTGGACGGCTCAGGAGTTCTTGCCAGGAAGAAGTGGAGAGCCTTGAGAAAATCCTGATTGGGGGATGGATGTGTAAAGGGATTGCACATTGATGGTGAAGAGGAGGCAATGTTGCCTGCTAGATGGGAATTTTGAAACTTTTGTAAAGCGTCAGAAGATTTACGGATGTAAGTGGGGAGGGACTGGACAGGGGAAGGTAAAATACAGTTGAGAAGAAGTAAATTCTGTGGGGGCTGGAACAGGCAGAAACAGTGGGTCTGGGCAGTTCTGTTTGTGGATTTTAGGAATAAGATAGAAGTGGGCTGTGTAGGATTGGGAACTGTGAGCTGGGAGGGTGCCTTGGGACATCCCCAGGTGAGATGAGGTTGGTGACAGTTGTGGACACATTAACCTGATGCTCAGTACTCAATGGTGGGGTCGTTGTTCCGGGGGAAGATAGGAGAACATGTCCAAAAAGCTTGTGCCCAGCCTGTGCAACGTAAATGCCACCCTCATGAAATGCTGTCTGGTAAATCATGGCTTTTTGTCTTGGCTTTGAATTGTTTGTCCACAAATGCTATTTCCCTTGGTTAGCTGAAGAGGTTGAGATGACAGATTGGAGGTGATGATTACTTTCATCACCTGCCTACCTTTGTTGAGAGGATGTTCTCAAAACCTGCACTTTTAAAGGCTGGTGAATCACAGTAGGGATCATCTTTACAATTTCTCACAATTGTAAAGTTTACTCAGTTGGGTTCAAGAGGAATTCAGAGAATTTGTTTCCATGTACCGTTTTTTAACTTGGAGAAGTCGCTTAAGTATTAAGCACGCAGGTTTATTTGCTAGAGCTCTCACCCAGTATGTGTATTATAAAAGGAATCATTCATTTTCTCAACTTATTTCTTTTCCCAGAAATGGCTAGTTTTATTTCTGCTGACTTGTTGTTCTCATGCCCCCTTCAGTTTTGATTCTTACTCAACCACATCAACCATCTCCTTCTATCCCACTTTGCTTCTCCCCTCCTATTTCTGTTGTAAGTACTCCATTCCCGACAAATTTGGTTGTTTAAATACATTTCTGTCAATTTCAGTTTGTTTTTTACATCATTGCAAGCTAGCTATATTGAGATGGAGGTGCTGGTGTTGGATTCGAGTGGACAAAATCAGGAGTCACACAACACCAGGTTATAGTCCAACAAGTTTATTTGAAATTGCAAGCTTTCGGAGCACTGCTCCTTCGTCAGTTGGGAGCTGCGGTTCGCAATCTTGTGATTTCGAGTAAGCCTGTCGGACTGCAACCTGGCGTCATGTGACTTCTGATTTTAGTTATATTGAGGACAGTTGAATGTCTTTATTTTGAATGGGTGCTGAACTGAGCATGCAGCAGTATCATCCTGTGGGTATACTGAAATTGCAGGATACTTTATGTGTTATAGGAATTGTAACCTTCTGATAACAATGGCGTAGGAGTGTATTGAAGAACTAACCATTTTGACAGGAGGACTCTGAAAGAACTTCAGTTAAAAGAGCAAGTCATTTTTCACAGTTTGTTTCATTACTAATCTCTTACAATGTCAACAAAGAATTATGCATCAAATGGATAAGTATAGATGAAGGAGAATGACACAGTGTAAAAGCGTCAAGAAATCACACTTGTTTCCAAATAACTGAAGGCTTTTTGCCTCTGTAACCTACTTGAAGCAATTGCAAATACTGGTCACTCATTAAGTATTCACTGACATACGGACTTCTCTTGTTTCCAGTCTCCTCCACATGCTGTGGTTTTGCCTCCAAGTATCCTCAACCTAACTGGAGAAGACCTTCATACAGAAAAGGGATGTGTTGTTTCTGAAGCTGTAGTAAGTATTATTTTTGCTAGAATGTCAATTTAAGTGTGTGTCTGTGTATCACACTAGCTAGAAATCTGTTCCACACCATCAAGTGAATTATCTTGAAACTGAACCTTATAGGTCCAGGTGGTAAGGTTTCTGTGTGATGCCAAATCAGCTACCTCTGCTGGCTGGTGGTTGGGGAGCTACAATTACATTCCACGCTCCAGAATTGAAGGACGGATAATTGATGGCACGGTGGCTCAGTGTTTAGCACTGCTGGCACACAGTGCCAGGGACCCGGGTTCAATTCCAGCCTTGGGCGACTGTCTGTGTGGAGTTTGCATGTTCTCCCCGTGTCTGCGTGGATTTCCTCCGGGTGCTCCGGTTTCCTCCTACAGTCCAAAAATGTGCAGGTTAGGTGAATTGGCCGTGCTAAATTGCCCATAGGTTAGGTGGGTTAGACATAGGAAATACACGGGAATGGGTCTGGGTGGGAGGGGCGGTGTGAATTTGTTGGGCTGAATGGCCTGTTTCCACACTAAAAAAAAGAGCTGGAGTGAAGAATTAACTATGTTTGCACTCTTGATTACTGTCCAGTGAGCTCTTTATCGTGCCTAGATATAGTATTGCAGCTTATAAATGCCTTGAGACATCTCTCAGAATGATGAAGAATTACAGTGTAGGACAAGTAGACCAGTTTGAGATTTTGACAAAGCTCTCCATTTAGAGTCATGCATATCTACTTTCTGATATCTGTGGAATAGAGTTTCTGCAACTGCAGTTGATTACAGAGAATAGCCCTTTAAATTTTAAAGTTTAGGCTGGTGAAGTGAAATGTTAATTATTTTTTTGCTAATTAGCAGACCAAATAGAAGAGCTTTAGCTTCTTGCACTTCTTCAATGCATTATAGTCAGTGAAGCTTTGAAGAGTAGTTCCAGTTTGTAACCAAGTGGAAAAAGCTCCATGAAGTCATTTAATGGTTCAGGTAGTTGTTTCTGGTTTAAGTTGATGAAAAATGTTAACCAATTTTCTGCTTTTCTTGGAATCATGCTATCCATCCCTTCATGTTCAACAAAACAAGCAGATGTCATCTTGGCTCAGGAATCTTTTGATGCATTATTTAGTACCCATCAGTGTTGCAATGTTGGCCTAGATTTCCCAAGGCTTCGTGTCCATTTGAACTCCTAATTCGCAAAGATGTAGTCACTTTTTCCATGATGAACTTGTCAGTCTTGGCCAGGCTGCTGTGCTGTGTTCAGTAAAGAAAGGCATATGTTCTCAGGGAGAGCTAAATGTTTTGGAAGTTTCATTAGTTCAGCTGATCTTACCTCTTTAAATATGGATGTGTGACACTGCTTGCTTAATGGAAAGTGTCACAATCAGGTGGAGTGGGGTTGCTCAACTCCTGCTTTTTCCCCCTCCTTGTTTGATCACAACGGGGATTTGAATAGGAGGATATACTTGCCAATTAATTGTTTGAGTGTTTGTGTATCTTTTTTATTAACACTAATCAGACAGATTTTCTTGAATTTTAACAGAATCTGGATAGCTTTAATTGTACTTAAGTAATGTAAACCTTGGTTGGCACGATGGCTCAGTAGTTAGGACTGTTGCCTCACAGCACTAGGCACCCAGGTCTGATTGCAGCATCAAATGACTGCCCCAGTTTGGCCAGATCAATGTTATTGAATATTGTTTTCATTCTTTTCCTATTTCACTTTGAGACGTACCGACTGTTTGATTTGCTGCCATGTACATGGGGTATTGAAAACAGTCACTGTTTGCAAGTCAATTGAGGCATGACTCTTTCAGCTGTTCATTTGTCAGTCTTATTCTAGAAAACTCCATAATTATCCAATTAAAGCCTCATCATATATTTTCTCATTGTCATTATATTCCAACTTGTTTCTCGAGTCAATTTTAAAAAAGAAATACCATTTCAGTACCAGAACCAATTAAACGTTTATAAGACAACCTGGAACTTTTAACTAAAATTAAATTCAACTGCTTAATAGAACTTACATTTTTTACTAGAAGCCATTGTTACAAATTGATTACTTTTTGAAATATTTTTGTTAGTTTTTTAAACAGTAAATTTTAAGAAGCTTTCAGTGATCAGACCAAAAATTGGCTACACCTGCAGGTTTTCAGTATTGCATGAACTGTTTGTGTCAAAATGTTAATGAGCCACACAGCAATGTAAATCATTACCACAAAAATCTATTCCATAATTTTCATTAGGTCAGACCAAGTTACAAACTTTTTTATTGGCTTCAGCCTAAATTACCTTTCTCATTATACATACAGTAAAATATTGAGGGTCAGCCATATGGCTTTAATATTGTTGATGTACTTCTGAAGGAACCAGTCTGTCATCAAGGTTAATAGTTTCTATTTATCTGATTAAACTGATTGTGACTTGATAACATTACTTCTTTTGCATTTGTAATTTCTAGACTATTTGTTAGTCTGGAGAATTTACATTTCTGGAGGGAAAACAGTAAATTTGGATAGAAAAGAGTATTGTAGCTTAAATTTAATTTTAATTTATGAAACGTTGGTTTGTTCCCATTTTCTAAATGAGCTGAAAGTTAATGATTCCAAGCATAGATTGCAATAGAAAATAAAGACACGATCAGCTGGAATCAAGTTTAGGAAGAATTTTAAGTTTACAAATGCTTTAACTATAATCAAAACTGTTGCAATGTCGCAAATTGTTTGAAATGGATCTTTGTAGTTGCAATAAAAACAAAATGTTGGAAATAGTCAACAGGGCAGATAGTCATCATGGAAAATGTTAAGAGATGTAACACATTTTAAGCAAATGCAGAGGGTTAGACGAACTTGTTGCAGCTGAGCTTTTGCTTTGCCATCCACACCTGAAATTTCACAGCTTAGAAGAGCAGTGACTGGGTTGCAGTTACTTATGTTGGGTAGTTTAATGCGAGAATCTGAATAGTCTTTTTGACTCGATGTGTAATGCAATTTAGTGTGAATTGTAAGTATTCAGCATTCCCTGGCCTCTGTTACCGGGCGTATCTTGCAACTTCATAGTAAGATAGAGGAAATATGGATGAGTGATACAAGTTAATATGTGCTGTTTTTATTATGATAGTCGTGTTGTAGAAAGGCTACGGTTCAACTGAAACTGCCTTTCATTTCACTTGGCTTTCAGCTTTAAAGAGCTTCTGTTGGATTACACTTATTTATGCAAGCAGGTTTCACAAGAATTTGGTAGGCTTTACATATAGTTTGATTGGGTTTCAAATGTACAATTTAGCATAGATGAGTGTTTTTTTATGTGTGGCTGTATTTGTGCTCTTGGTATTTACGACATGTATCACAATGCAGCTTTGCTCATGCTCATCCACAATGTTCTGCTATTTTCCTTGGATTTCGAAGAAAAACGGAAAACTCATTATGTGCTTCAATTACTTACTGGCAGAATTCTAGCAAGTAGATTAAAATGCATTGCCAGTTCAGCTCCATGCTGCTCAAGTTGCCAGTTTGTGTATCTCAGTGATGAATATGGGCTTGTTTTGTGGCACTGATTTCAGTTTCAGTGGGATTTCACCAAGAACTGGACAGCAAATTTGCAGCCTTGTTTAGATGAAATTTTGCACTGGATTTATGACTGCCTTTAAACTGGAATTTACCCTAATTAAAATAATGGATTATTCAGAAAAAAATTCCATTCACGAAATCACTCTCATTTTTTGACCAACCTGACTTAAATTTGTACATTTTGATTATATCTCATGTCAACTTGAGTTAGTAGTAGCCAGGTTCCAATTTGCTGATCTTTCCCCAGATTGTAAACAGTAATCTATTTGGTATTTTTATGTAGTTCTTAAATGGGATCCTTTGGGGCAATTGTGACAAGAGCTTCTACTGCCCTGTTACCAGGACATAAGATATATGAGTATGAATAGGCTCTTTGACTCTTTCAGCCTACTCCACCAAAGATACAATCTTGGCTGACCTTCAACTTCAACTCCACCTGTCAACGCTATCTCCATATGCCTTAATTTCTGAAGAGCAAGCCACTCGATCCCATTTTCCTGTTCACTTTCCATAGCTCTTCAAATGTATTTGCCTCATTCTCTATCTAAGAGAATACAGAAGATTCACAATCCTTTCAGGGACAATTTTTTTTGTTCTGTCTGTCCTAAGTGGGTTATCCTTTATTCTGAGGCCATAATACCATGATTACCAATGATAATTTCCTGAAGTTCCTCATTTCCCACTAGACATGGGTTTGCCACTATTTACAGAATGTATCTTGGTTTCTATCATGAGGCAGATATGAAATTTTATTTTAATGCCTCTGTCATTTCATTATTTATTCCCCATTTTAGTTTCTCCTGTCCTTGCTGCAAAGGATTGCATGCTTGCTAAATCTTTCTTACATGCCTGTGGAAACTTTTAAAATCTGTTCTTGTATCTCTCATTCATTGTTTATTAATTTATTGTCCATGTTTGCTGAACTCTGACATGCTTCCAATCTTCGGGTTTGTTGCTCTTTTTGGCAGCATAAACCTTTTCATTGATCATAGAAGATCATAGAAACTCTACGGTTGGAAATAGGCCCTTCGGCCCAACAAGTCCACACTGACCCTCAGAGCATCCCACCTGGACCCATCCCCCTGTAACTCACCAAATCTACACATCCCTGAACATTATGGGCAACTTAGCATGGCCAATCCACATAGCCTGCACATCTTTGGACTATGGGAGGAAACCGTAGCACCCGGAGGAAACCCACGCAGACACGGGGAGAATGTGCAAACTCCACACAGACAGTCGCCCAAGGGTGGAATCGAACCCGGGTCCTGGCTCTGTGAGGCAGCAGTGCTAACCACTGAGCCACCATGCCGCCGCTTTTGTTTTAATACTACTCATAATTTCTCTCATGAGCTGTTATTGGACCACTTCTGTAGATTCTTATCCTGCAAAGAAGCTTTATATTTGTTGTAAATACATTTAAATGTTTACCATTGTCTATTTACCATCGGATCTTTTTAAA